TGGAGGCTGAGTGTGTGTTTTGGAGGCTGAGTGTGTGTTTTGGAGGCGAACTTGCAGGTGGTAGTGTTCTAATGTATCAGCTTTAGTTGACCTTCTAGATGGGAGTGTTCGTGGGTTTGGAAGGATCTTTGAATTTCTAAAGTGCATCTTGTTGATAGAACACACTGCTGCTACTGACCCCCAACGGCAGAGGGAGTGGATGCTTGTGGATGTGGTGCCAGTCAAGCGGGCTGCTTTGTCCTGGATGGTGTCAAGCTTCTTGAGTGTTACTGGAACTTTATTCACTCGGGCAAGTGGGAAGTATTCCGTCATACTCCTAACTTGCTGCCGGGTAGATGGTAGACTGGCTTTGTGGAATGAGGAGGTGAGTTACTCATTGCAGTCTCCCTTGCCTCTGACCGGCTCTTGTAGCCATTATATTTATATGGTGAGTCCAGTTGTATTTCTTGTCAGTGATAATCCCCAGGATGATTGTGGTGAATGCAGTGATGGTAATGCCATTGAATGTCAAAAATCAGTGGTTAGATTATCTCTTATTGGAGATCGTTGCTGCCTGGTATTTATTATGTGGCGCGAATGTTATTTGCCATTTGTCACCTCAAGCTTGGATATTGTCCAGGCCTTGTTGCATTTGAACATGGACTGCTCCAGTGTCTGAGGAGTTGTGGATGTTGCTGAAAATTGTGTGATCGTTATCAAACTTCCCCACATTTGAGGATACAATGGAAGGAAGGTGTTTGGACCTGGGCCATTACTCTGAGGAACTCCTGCAGAGATGTCCTGAAGCTGCGATGACTAACCTCCTACAACCACAACCATCTTCCTGTGTGCTAGCTGTGATTCCAACCAATGGAGATTGATTGATTGGCATCCCACTGATTCCAGTTTAGCTAGGGCTCCTTTCTACCACACTCAGTCAAGGGCTGTCACTCTCACATCACCTGGAATTCAACTCTTTTATCCATGTTTGAATCAAGGCTGTATTGAAGTCAGCAGCTAAGGAGCCCTGGCAGAAACCAAACTGGGCAGTACTGAGCAGGTTGTTGTTAAACAGGTGCTGTTTGATAGTGCTGTTCAGGACACCTTCTGTCATTTTACTGATTATCAAGAATAGACAGGTGAGGCAGTAATTGGTCATGTTGGATCTGTCCTGCTTTTTGGGTATAGGACATACTTGGGCAATTTTTGACAGTTGGCTAAATGCCAATGTTGTAGCTATACTGGAACAGCTTGGCTAGGTGTGTGACAAGTTGATGAAGCTCAAGTCTTCAGCACTAACAATGAATTGATAATGCATTAGGATTCTTAATTAAATAATGTTCAACTCTTGAGTGACTATGGAACTGCTTCCCAAACGTTTCCTCTTCCAACCCAATTTTAATACTTGAAAATTGATGTGATTCCAAATCGAAAGCAGGATTTAGGGGTTCTTGACCAAGGACCAGTGGTTATGTCCACAACCAAAGAAGTTTTGAGTTACGAATTTTACGCATTCATTTGGTGGAGCTTCAGCACTAATCCCAGGAATGTTCTACTTGACAGTTTCCACACGGTAGCCATCGATGCCTCAGTGCTGAATCATGTTTCAACCAAAACCTGGGCGGAGTTCTCCAATTCATTACAGTTCTCAAGAAAACGCTGCTAACTGTTCAGCACCTGGCTGATTCTCTCCCCCACCCCAGCTCAGCTGCTTGTAACAATGTTCGTTTAAAAAGAATCCCTTTCCTTTTTGGATACATTTCTCCCAGATGTAAATGAACTTTTGCTTTCCAAGGAGCAACTTAACCAAGCTTTCTTGAGTTAACAAAGAGTTAATTAATTACTAAATGTGCAAAGAGTCAGTAACACGTCACACGTGCACACAGATTACAAATAAGAGGTGTGTCTAAAAACGTGAATTTTTAAAAAGGAACATATTTGGATCAGTTTCCAAATTGTTCATGGGGAGCAAATAATTGAATCAGTTGAGGCCATTGCAGTGGGGTTTGCTGATAGCATTGTTGTTAATAGTTGAACAGTTTATGATTTTGTAGGTTGATTTATATCTCTTTGTCCTGATTCCTTTTGTTAACTGATTTGCAGAACACAAGTCAGAGGGGCTCTTTGCCTGAAACCATTGTTTTAGATTGTTCTTATTTCTAGTTTCTGGAATCCATTTTTTCAGTGGTTGAAAGTTGCAGTGTATGCTGAAGAATTCACTGCCTGTTGTGTTGAAGTGCAGAACTGAATGAGGTAGTTCTGTCCACCCCCAATAGTTACTATGGTTGCTGCACATGTTGCATCCTGTCTCCATCAGTATTTCCCACTCTCTGTGCTCATGGTTTTAAATGCTGTTTAAGTAACTTAAAGATTTGATGTGACAGCTATTCTCCTATTCAGTCCATCCTGACCCCCCTCAATCCTGGGTAAACTTCTGCAAGTACAGTGCTGTTGAGATGCTAACAAGCATTTAAACCAAAAGAATTCATTTAATATCCTAATGTCTATATTTTCAGCAGGCATTATGTAAATGCAACGTGTGTCACTTTTTTTTTATTTGGTTATATCTGGACACATCTGTTTTTTTTAAAAAAAAAAAGAATATTTGGATTTCTGTAGTGCCATACATGACCTGAGGATGACCCAAAGTGCTTTATAGCTAACTATGTATTTATGAAGTGTAGTTACTTTAAAATGTAGGAACTATAACAGTCTATTTGTACTCAGCAAGATTCCAATGATGGCATTAAGATAAATGACAGGTAACCTGATTTGTTTGTTGGTTGGGGCGGTCATGATTGGCCAGGATAGCTGTGTTGCTGTTCAAAAGGCACAAGATCTTTTGCGATAATGCTCCCAGAAGGAAAACATTGATTTAAACATTGTTCACTTAGTGTTTGTTATGGTTCTTCAACTTAAACTTCTATGTAAACCATATAGTAACCAACCTGCATTTATGTGGAACCTTCAACAAAAATTGCTCCTAAGACACTTTGGAAGTAATCAAAAAGATTTACTGGCTGAGCCAGAGTTGTAGGGTCATGGAGGGTGACCAACTGGTAAAAGAGGTGATTTTAAGAGGTAAAAGGTGGTGAGAAGGTAGAAGTGAAATTTAGGAAGAATTCCAAGTGGAGCTGATATAGTGCCACTTGTGGAAGTGTATAATTACAACATTACCACTTCACTGTAGCAGTTTCAATTGTTAAACAGGAAATGACTGCACAGTAATTCACCTAGGGCTATGTTGGTGTTTATGGCCTGTATGGTTACCCCCTCAACTTGCATCATGTTCAATCAACATATCTCTCTGTGCCTTTCTCCTTCACACTTAATTTAGCTTCTCATTAAATGCATCTAATGATATGGATTTAGGAATCTACAGAAATGGGAATGTAGAAATAAAGGTGGAATGTATGATCTGAAAATGGGAATAAATATCTGAATAACCTATCCTACATAATTCCTTGACTTCAGGACTAGTTTATCTCGCCAGCTTGCACATATACATAATAATATTTGTTTAGTATAATAGCATTTTTGTTTTTAAAGTATTTGTTTCCAGTATAATTAAAATATGCAATTAACCTTGTCATGTTCTGCACATTACTCAACATTGTAGATAGAATGGGTACATTAACATTTCAGATATAGTCCCTTTGCTAGTCGTCATGTTTCAACTGTGAACCCTTTATTATCTCATTTGATCTGTCCACATTTTTATATTAGATCTATTTGCAAGATTTGCTGCTTTTGTTTCAAGGTGTTGACATCATTTTTTTTCTTCTTTGAGGCTGCCAATTTTATATTAAAAGAAAATGTTTTTGCATTTCAGTGTCTAGCTATATGGGAGTCTTTCTTGGCTTCTCAACAGATTGAGATGAAAGTTGACAAAAATGCAAAAGAAAATGCATAACAACTTATCTGAAATTTAGCTGAAGTGCTACATTTGTTTTATTGTTCTCTGGCTAAAGAATGTATGTGTTTATTAAAGAAGAATGCTGGACTCTGCTTCATAATTTTTAAACTTTTGATGGAACATTTTACGCTTTTTGCATTTTTAGTTATTTTAATGATTTGAACATTCTACAATCCAAAGAATAAGCAGGCCAATGGAATTATTCACTTTTAAACCTCAGGTAATGCTTAGTTGATGACTTTGCAAAATCACCTATCAATGCAAATGAATGTTTCTGAAATAAACATTTATCACAAAATGAAAGGATGTTTACTTAAATGAATTTAACTGCCTTAAATAAATTGTCTTGATAGAAGAACAATAATTCTAGACAGTTTTATAAAATTATCCCTTTTCTCCCCCATCTTGCCTCTGGGGAATTTTGTTATAAAGTTTGGATGCCAATCGTGTAGCATTATATCAACGCAGCAAATGACAGATCATGTCATCAGATAATTTTGTCTTGCCTAGAGGTTGTTTATTCTTCACTCTCACATTTGGATTTATTGATCTTAATTTCTTCAACGTTGTTTAACTTGAAAACATTTAGAATTAAACTGGGCTCTGGCAGTAGCCTAAAACACACATGAACCAATACACCCAATTGTGTAATTGTATAAAGCAGCATGCTTTAGGGAGCATAGGCACAGGATATTGGGTTGATCATTTAAGACTGAGATGGCGAGGAATTTCTTCACCCGGGTAAATGAAAATCTTTAGAATTCTGTATCTCGGAGGGCAATGAATGCCAGTCAATCTGTGTATTTAAAGCTGAGACAGATTTTTGGACTCTAAAAATACCAGGCAGGAAGATGAAATGGAGGCTGAAGATAAGCCATTCATTTTTCAAATGGCAGAACAAATTCAAAGCGCCTTTCAGCTGTTGTTTCTTCTGTTCTTGCATATGCTTTACACCCCCCTCATTTTCCATTGACCTGATCTCCATTTTGTATTATTGCCAAAGACCAATTCCTTCAATGTGCCACTCTACTCAACCGATTAATAGTAATGGAACGCATCGCCTTGTATCTATGAGCTACAGTCCAATTTGTGTAAAGTCTCTAATTGTTTGAATTCTTGTACATTCTTTTATGCAAATGTTATTTTTAGAAACTAAATATCTGGGTTCTTAAAGGAAATTGTACTGTATGTTATCCTTGTAATTTTTTTCTCATGACAGCTTGTCTTTTTGAGGATAATAGCAAGCATTTATTTGGTGATAAAAGTACATTTTCACTTTATCCTCTATAGCTAAGCCACTGACAATAGAGATGTGGTTCAGCCTTTTAAAGAACATTGCAGTGTAGTGCATCATGAAAAATTGGACTTAATATGTATGCATCCATACACTGTGTTTCTTTTGACCAAGCTCTGTGAGAAACATTTTGGTCCGTAATTTCTAGGAGCATTTTACAATGTATTGGGCTAGAACAAAATGTAGCACACAATTTAAGTGGCATACTGGACCAAATAAGAACCAAAAATGAATGGTTTTATCTTTTTTAATGTTGACTGCTAACAATAGACCTTTTTTGAAGTTTTCAAATTATTTTTCAACAAGATTAGCTTTGTTCTCAAGTTTAAGTATGATATTTTAAAAGCTTTTTGAAATACTGTTTCAAAACATTAAATCTAAACTTACAAAATCAGATTTAATATTTTATTGAGTGACCAGTAAATGAAAGTTGTTTATTGAAGTAGAATTGTGAAACCATTGGTATATGTAATGTATAAACTTTGTTTTCTTCCAAGTACAGTTAAATAGATGCATAAATATTAGGGTTAGATTAAAACACTTTCCAGATGAGTAACATGCATGACCTAGTTTAAATGTATTTACCTTAAAGTGTTGGAATCTATTAAATGCATATTTGAAAATGTAGAGACATTGTATGAAAATGTGATTTCCAACATGGAGAAATAATAAATGGAAAATAAAAGTCTATAACGATTGAGTCACCATCATGTTATGTTTTATTAAATTGCTACGCAACAGCATGAGATAAAAGTAGGAGTAGACCAGAATGCCGGTCAATATAATCATTGCTGATCTTGGACTTCAACTTCATTTTCTCACCCACTCCTCATCCCTTGATTCCATGGGAAACTCAATCTATTTATTAAAACCTTAAATGTAATCAACACTCTTGTGTCTATAACACTTTGGAGTGGGGAATTCCAAAGATTCTTTGAAGAAGTGTATCCATCTCTGTATCAAATGATAAACCGCTTATGCTGAAACTGCCCTCCTGTTCTCAATTTCCTAAACAGTGGAAACCACCTCTGTCTTCCCTATTCAAGCCCCTTCAGAATCTTGTTTCAATGAGAAGTGACTGCATTCTTTTGAATAGTATTGTAAATCATAATATTTTATGGCACAATGGCATGTTACATTTTGGACTATTGTGCCTATACTGGGTCTTTGAAGAAACTAACCATTTAACCCCACTCCCCTCTCAGCTTTGTAAATGTTGTAATAAGTAATACATTTGAGATGTTTGAATTATATTCCTTGCACCATTAGGAAACACAACACATCATACAAAAAGGAGAAAGGGAGTACCATTTAAAAATACTGAAACCGAATCATAGCTAGCCTTTACCACAGCAGAGCATGGAAATCAGTACAATCCACTGCAATATTGAGGGAGCGCTGTATAATCAAAGGTGCAATCTCGGATGAGGCATTAAACAGAGCTCATTTGTATCTCTCTGGTAAGCATAACATATCCTGTGGCACTATTAGATCAGACCGTGAGAGTCATTCCTGGTGTCCTTACTGTTATTTATCCTCCAATCAATATCACAAAAATCTGTTCTGTATCACCTCACTGGAAGCTTGCCTGTACTTAATTGGCTGCTGCATTTCGTACATTACAACAATCAGCACATTTGAAGTATTTGATTGGCTTTTGGCCTCTGGTTATCATGAAGTCGTGTGGTGGTAGTGTCCCTACCTCTGAACCAGAAGGACAGGATTCAAGTCCAAATTTCTCCAGAGGTGTAATAACTTACTTGAACAGATTGATTTGAAATTGGTTTTAGGATCCTCTGCAGTGATAACTTTATTATTTGTGGCCCAGATCTGGGGTCAAGTCCCACCTTAGGATATGATAGCTAAAGAGATGTCATAATTCATCCAGACATTTTTAAATGGCACTTTGTAATGTGTGTCTGTCTTTGATATCTTGATCCAAAATCTAGTCCATATTTATTTAGCATTCCTCAAAAACATTCTAATACAAATGTTAAATTCTCAAATGTGAATATGCTGTCTTGTTTACCCTACTTTTATAGTTTAGTTCACTATTTGCTTTGCTTAATAAGGCTACCTCTTTGTTTAAAGCCGCTTCTCCCACTTATCAATGTAACATAAAATAAATATTCAGGACTCAGTACTTTAGGAAAGATGTAAAGACACTTGTGGGAATGGTTCCAGGGATAACAAACTACAGTTACCAAGATAGACTGGAGGAAAGAGGCTGAAAGGAGATCTAAAAAACAAAAGAACTGCGGATGCTGTAAATCAGGAACAAAAACAAAGTTGCTGGAAAAGCTCAGCAGGTCTGGCAGCATCTGTGAAGGAAAAAAACGGAGTTAATGTTTCGGGTCCAGTGACCATTCCTCAGAACTGCTGTTCTAGGGAAGGGTCACCGGACCCGAAACATTAACTCTGTTTTCTCCTTCATAGATGCTGAAATGAGATCTGATGGAGGTATCCAAAATTATCGGTCTAGACAAAAGAAAGGGAGGAAAAACTGTCCACAATCATAAAAGAATCAAGAATGATGGGACAAAGATTTAGAGTAACTGACTAAAGAGACAAATGTGAAATTAGAAACATTTTCATGCAGTAAGTGATTGTGGTCTGGAATGTGTGGCCTGAACGTGGTGGATGCAAGTTCAACTGAAGCATTAAAAAGGGAATGAAACTTATTTGAAAAACAAACAACATACAGGGTTACAGGAAAAGATGACAATGGCACTGAGTAAAAATGCTCGTTGAGATGAAGTGTTGACACAATGGGCTGTATGTCCTCTGTGCTGAAATGATTCTGTGATGTGAAGATGCCAGTGTTGGAGTGGGGTGGACAAGGTCAAAAATCACACGACACCAGGTTTTGGTCTGCTGGTGGTTGACGAGGGGAGCAATGTCGGACAACCCTGTTGACCTGGGTGAGGGTAATAAGCTAGCTTCAGTCTCCATGGAGGCAGAGCCCTCAATTTTGCTTGATATTCTTGATGCTCTGAGTGAGAGAGAGAAGGTAAAATTCACAGTTCACACCAACAGATTTATTTGAAATCAGAAGCTTTCGGAGTCTAGCTTCTTCTCCAGGTGTCAGTCAGTTATGAAATAATTCTGTGATTAAGGGTGTGATAACAGGAAACTTGGAAAATTATTTAGAATAGGTAGAGTTGATGTGATTTTTATTGAAGGGATATGGTGTTTGACAAATCTAGTTTGCAACCAAAAGGATACATAATGTGGGGGCACAGAGACTAGCAACTATTTTGATTTCCAGAAGGCAATTGAATTGGTGGTATTATAGTGCAAGATTAGGACGCATGGAATATGGATTACCAATGGCTATAGGACACAACTAGAGTGAGTAAATGGATCATTTAAAGGATGGATATGTTCACCAGTGGACTGATGCAAAAATCACTGCTCCGATCTTGACTATTTCCAATTTATACCATAATTTATGAGGGGATTGAGTGTCACCAATACAGGTTCACTGATGGTGCAGATCTTGGAGGAGATATAAACTGTTGGAAAGATGCAAGCAGACCGAAAAGCAAGATAAATTAATGGAGTGAATAAGAAAGTGATGTGAAACATTATAACTAGTATGCATTCAGTGGATATTGTTGTACTTGTCGCAGGAAGTAAACATACCTTCCTAATTGCTTTAACATGTAAGTTATCTGTTAGTCTTTATTTCACAGGGTTAACACTGCTGCCTCATAGCACCAGGGCCCCACGTTCGAATCCAGCCTTGGATGACTGTGTGGAGTTTGCACATTCTCCCTGTGTCTATATGGGTTTCCACCAGATGCTCCATTTCTTCCCACAATCCAAAGACATGTAGGTTAGGTGGATTGGCTATGCTAAATTGCCCCATAATGCCCAGAGATGTGCAGGCCAGGTGGATTAGCCACAGTAAATGCAGGCTTACAGGGATATTCCTCAGAGGGTCAATGCAAACTCAATGGGTTGAATGGTCTGTTACTGAACTGTGGGGATTCTATTGCAAGGCTGAGTATTGGAATACTATGCATGATTTTGATGGTCGTATCTGTTGAAGAGCATATTTGCTTCAGAGGGGTCGCAAATGAAGCACAATTTGTTGCTTCTTGGGGAAGTGATTATGTGGAAAGCACCTAATGCTTGGGTTTAGAAGAATGAGAGGTGATCTTGTTGAAACAAACAACATTACTAGACTGAGATAACAAGGTGTAGAGCTGGATGAGCACAGCAGGCCAAGCAGCATCAGAGGAGCAGGAAGGCTGACGTTTTGGGCCTAGACCCTTCTTCAGAA